AGAACCAACCCAGCTGCACCCCACGCTGACTTAGGGACACCTGGGGAAGAGCAGCTGGGGTGCTGCCCGGTTGGTCCAGTAGCGCCGAGGAGCTGAGCCTCATTTGCATACCTAATGAGCCACCATTTTTTTCAGAAGAGGCTCTTGCGCAAGAAGCATCTACACTGCCCCTTCTTGCGCAAGAAAAATTACACCTATTACTTTTCAGGAAGAATGGCATTGCGCAAGAGGGTTTTTCTTGCGCAAGAAGGAGCAGTGTAGACGCTCCTTCTTGCACAAGAGCCTCTTCTGGAAAAAAATGGTGGCTCATTAGGTATGCAAATGAGGCTCAGCGATATTCCACACTTAGCCTCATTTCCATATTACTTACGCAAGAAGCCACGAGTGTAGACATATTCATGAAGTATGTCACGAGTGTAGACATAGCCCATTTCCGTTAACAATGTTCATGTGTCTCCTTCCTCCATCCTGCCATTCACTCCTTCTGGGTTCCAATTCATTAACATTTAAGACTTCTCAGTCCCTCTTCTCAATTCTGCCGACAATTCTAATCCTGGCTCATCCCCAACAGCTGCTTCCTCCACTCCCTCCCATGCTGCTCTTCCTGGTGTAAGTCCCACGAGCCTAGTATGATCCTCCACTACACTTTTGTCACCTCATTGATTCTACAAACTTGCTAGTCATGCAGTACTTCTAAACCTAACTCCCAAACCCATTCCAGAAAAACCTATCATTTAGACTCCCCACTTAAACTCCTAAATCCCATTTGACTTTCCTGAAAAAGATTGGAGAGCTGCCCCACCTGCCCAATCACTGAAACTGATGTTCTGGTCTGCTTTCTTCATCTATTCTCTTCACCAATCCCATGCTACCCTTCATAATTTCCCTGTGTTCTGATTGCTTCCAGCAGGAGTTAGGGCCAAGTTAATTTAGGGCTCGTTGCTAAACGGTGTGGAGGCTGCATTCACCTACTCAGTTGAAAAGCCCCAAAGAGGCAAACTCAGTCTGTATTGACCTTTGTGACCTCATCCAAACATTAAACTCTCCCATTGTTACCTGCACAAGTTAGGGCTCTCTCTTCCCCCTTGGGGTGCAATGGCCCTCATGCTTTATTGGAATACACATGCAATGGCAAGGGTGAGGAACCCATTAGCCAGCTTTTATTCCACGTTAGTCCCTTCATCTACCAGCTATATTAGTTGTCAGCTGTGAGCACTGATGTAGCTCATGGACACTCAAATACCTGCCCTTCTACGGAGAGACCTGGTCATGTGCCTAACTCCATTGTGCCAAGTAACAACCCACTTCCACATCCTCCAGAACCCTCTGCTGAGGTTCTAGTTGCACCTTCCTCCACAGATACCCCTCAATAGACTGCCTGTGGCTCCATAAAGTCACGAGACCTCATCGTCAACATCTTCCTGCTATTGGCCAAAGTGGTCATTTACCCAACCAAAAAGAAACAGCTTGACAGGTTCATTGCAATTACAGGGACTACTTCTATACCATCAGTCTCTCATTCAGATAGAGTTCCTCAGATGTCACCTCCTTTGTGGTGTTGTCCAGGGTTCTCTGCTCAGTTTCCCCATAAGGCTCCCATTTTATATCTTTGATTGACTCTTCCCCCACCCCTTCCTGTTTAAACATTTGTTGTCCCTAGTCCCTGCAATCCCTCTACCATTTAATGAGGGGGGAGAGATTTTGTTCCAGTAGACCCTGACCACCACTTCCCACAGCTCCCACTGGCTGGAAATGTTGAACCATGTAAACTGGGAGCTGCAGGGCTCTGTGCCTGCACACACTCAGTAAACAAACCATCTTGCAGCCCACCAGCAGCTATTCCTGAAGCGCATGTAGGCTGTGGACCAGAGGTTCCCCATCCCATCACAAGGAGAGGATCAGGGAAACACATCCCTCTCGCCTCTACAAACTTGCACAAATCCATCCTTGGGGGAATGTTTTCATTTCAGTGTATTTTTTTCTTTTACATAAGCAGCAAATAACTCATGAAGTTATGGATGAGCCAAACTATGTTGGATGGTCACTCTTTTTACCTCATACACAATGCCTCAGTTTTTTCCTCCATTTACCTGTAAGAGATTTCCTCCAGTTTCACTCCCACCTCCTAAAGTTCAATTTGTTTTGGAACATTCAGAACTAGAACAAGCCGGTCCTTTCCTTTTAGGGTTTTGTTTATCTATAAAAGCTGTGTGTTGAGACTGAAGATGGCTTACTATCTTCTCTTCTATTTCCATTCCTTGTGCTATTTCTTCAGCAGAAAGTGATAATTTCATTTCTGAGTCTTTGGTTACAAGAAGAACAGATGTTCTCCGTGAATCAAGGACATTTGCTATCACCACCTGATGACGATACTTCTCCAGAGCCTTCCGGGATTTATCAATTAAGATGGATGGATCAGTTTCTAACTTAAAGGAAATAACAAATGCTTCAGGGGCCCATTCTTTGACTAAAGGTGACAGCATTTTTGGCACCATCTTCATTGTGATCTGCATTGGGGGAAAAATTCAGAAGTTAGAAGTCTAAGTACACATGTGTATGACATTTAAATACAAGCTAAAGACACTGAATAGGGATGTGTCAGCTTCAGTGTTCCCTCTAATTTTTCCCACCCCTGGGCAGAATGAATTTTGCTATGTGCACCAATATGTAGGTAACTTGTGACATCACAAGTGGTGGGGGTGGAGCCAAGGTGTTGATTCCGGGAGAGGGCTCAGGCCTGAAGCAAAGAGTTGGGGTGCAAGGGCTCTGGTAGGGCATGTGGATTCTAGGGTAGGGCCAGGGATGAAGGGCTAAGGTCTAGGACAGAAGGTTGGGGTGCAAGAGGTTCTGGCTGGGGGAAGTCACAGATGAGGGGCTTAGAGCTGAGACAGAAGGTTGGGGTGCAAGGGTTTCAGCTTGGGGTGCAAGCTATTGAGTGGGACTGGGCTGAAGGGTTTGGGGTGAAAGATGATGCGAGGAGAGAAAACTCTCCCCACTCACTCTCTTTGCAGCAATCCCTGAATGGGGGCAAAAGGCACTTCTCCCCCACATGGCAGCTGTGGGGCTGGATTGACAGGATAGGTGCCCCTTCCCCATCTTGGCAGGTTCAAGTTGAGGCTGGGGGAGGACCATACCAGTCAGATCTAGGGCCAGGCTGCCTTGGCTGCAGCAAGTCTAGGGCCAGGAGGCCCTGGTAGATCTGGGGCGGGATGCCGTAGCCACAGCTGCGTTCACTCCAGACAAGAGCAGCTCTTGCTACATTTAAAGAGCAGAGTCATAGCCAACTCCTTTACCAACTAATCAAGAACTCTAAGGAAGCAGTTTTGCTAAAGGGAACAAGCCATCTAGGACTCACGGCTGTAATTTTACTCCTACTAAGTGACGCCAGAATACCAAAAACTGGGTGTGTGATTTCATTGTACGACAAAAGCGATGTTCAGGGTTGTACCCATCCAGGGTTGGGCCCAAACTCCCTTACAGAGCCTGTACTCTGAACCTCCTCTAATACCCCAATTCCCTGCCCCAGGCTCAGTTCAGAGCCCCTCTCACACTCCAACTCCCTTAGTCCAGGACCAGAGCCTTTGCCCCTGCCAGATGAAAGGGAGGGAGAGGGGCGGGGTCTCGGTGAAGGGGTACGAAGGAGGCAGGGCAAGGGTATTTGGGTTTGAGGTAGACTGTGGATTGCAATTACATTAAAAAGTAGTCTCCTACTTAAAAAGTTTGGGGACCACTGAGCTAGACTATAAGCTAGTTAGGGCAAAGACTAACTTCTCCTACATGTTTATAAAGAGCTTGTCACAACTGGGACCCAGTCTAAGCTGGGGCTTCCAAGCACTACCAGAATACAAAACTCATAATGGAGAGTGAGTTGTTGCCAGGGAAGACTTCTCTGGGAAAGGATGATTAAAAAAGGAAACTGGAGATCCCAGAACAGCTACCTAACAAAAAGGAAGCCTTTAATAAAGAAAAGAATAGAGAACTAAGCCAGATCTAAAAGTCAGAACTAGCCTTTCACAGACTGCTAATCTAATGAACAGGGATGGCTGGTTTACTAGCTGCAATAATAGTGCCATAGTACTAGGGATGTAAAATCTCAGTTAATTGGTTAACCGGTTAAACATCAGGTTTGACTGGTTAACTGATTAAGCAGGATTCCACTCCCATCCCTGTCCACCTCCCTGTGCTTGGCTGCTGCTCCCAGGCCCCAACATGCGGGGCAGCCTTGCTTGTGCGGGGGCAGCTCCTGCTCCCGGCCCTCCATGCGTGGCCAGCCAGCTCTTACTCCTGGCTCCCCCACATAGGGGACCAGCTCCCAAACCCTGGAGCAGCCCTCTGCCCACAGTTGGTCGTGGGTAGGGGGCTACTCACAGGTACTAGTTAACTGGTGCCTAGTCTAGTATACGTCACTCAGTTAGGGTGATGTTTGCCCCATAACTGGTTACCTGTCTCCATCTCTACATAGTAAACTGTTTTCAAAGTGATGAACCGTAATAAGGTCTCAGTCCCTTTGTGTACGAACTCACAGATACACAGGAGTTAAGTGACTTGCCCGAGGTAACTTCACATGTCAGTATCAAGTCAGGGACTACAACCCAGCAGTCCCGGCTCCCCATCGAGAGTTAGGAGCCCACCGAAATAGGAAGCCAGATTTCACCTAACATCACACTCGGGGCAAGCAAAGCCCAAGAAGGTTTAGGGAAGGGGGCCCCTTGCCCAGAAGCTGCATCACCTGCAGGGGCCCCTCAGAGGACTGGATCTTGTGCTCTGGCATCTCGGACGGTGGGATGTAGAAGTCGGACACCGCCGCCGCCAGATAGAACATCACGCTGGAGCCTGTGGGGAAAG